AGCGCCGAGCGACGTACTCTCCGAGTACCTCGTAAATGGAATTCGTTGCGAGATCCGACGGACGCACGTGGCACGTACGTCGAGCGTGGATTCCCTACGCGGGATGAAGTGGGGAAGGGAAGTGGGCGGAGACGAACGACGCGAGCGGGAATAAACGGAGGAAGGAGAGAGCGAGATGACGTTCTCTCCGTTCCCTTCGAACATATTCCCAAGGCTATTCTCGTTCCCTGGCGGCAGCACGAGACGAGGAATTCGGGATGACGAAGAAGTCGGTCGCCGAGTCGTTTCGCGGAGTAGGATCTCACGACCTCGATATGGGCATGCATTTCGTTGCATTTCGCGCGAAATCGATCGAGACCGTAGCAACGACGAATTAGTAGGAAATTGAGGGTACGATTCACGAACCCCCACGCGTCGATTCCGACGATCATTCGGTCTCATTTCGCTCACGTGAAGCGAATTTAAAAAATGGAAGAAAATCGTTTGGGCGGACCATAAAGTGTGCGAACGATCTCGTCCCCACGCGAAGGCGTACAGGAATGACGCAACCAGAAATTCACGGAACTGGTTTTTAATGGCCTCGAGCGAAGTCCTGGGGATCCCTCTCATCGCAAATCCATTTCAAGCGAGATCTTCATCTACGAAGCTGGAAAGTTCGAAACCGTGCCGTGCAAACGCCTCGAAGAAGAAGGGGGACGAATGCGTCGCGCCTCTCCACCGTCATCTTCATCTTTTATAAATGAACAGGAAAGGAAAAATCAGTTCTCGACGCACCCCTGTCTCGACTGGATTCGCACGATTCTCGTTTCCCGCCTATACGAGGCCCGTCCAGACGTCTCGTCTGCGTCGGAGATCCTCCGAGACCAATTTCGTATCGGCTTATCGGCCGCTTCGCGTGCCACTGCTCGCGTCTTCTTTTTTTTTAATCATTATTCTTTCATCCGCTTCCGCGATCCGTGCCGAATCGGCATCGCTGGATTCCGCCGAATTCTCTCCCCGCGTGGCAGGTGCGATCCGTGGATTCGCGACCGGCAGCGCGACGTCGTGCGCACTCGATTCGCCGGATCTCCGTGAGCGACGAAAACATCGGCAACACGGTCTTCCGATCGAGTTTCGTCTCGTGACGTCTCGAGTCGGGGCACCGGCGCCTCGGTGTTTGGACTCGGGCGTCGCGTTTCCTTTGCGGTTTCCGAGTTCGCATTACGCTGCGACCTCGAGAGTCGACTCTCGCCGCGGGTGTCGTCACCGCGTCGCCACGGAAGCCGAAAGCCATGGCTTCCACGACCTCACGCTCGACTGCCTTCCTCGTCCCGACCCCGAAGAGGAATCGTGCCTTCGCCTCGAATCCCTTGGGAAATTCGAGAGGAAGGGAGAGCGCGGTGGAATGACGGAGTGGAATATCCCTTTCGAGCCTCTGTCTGACCTATAAGAAAGAGCCGAGAAAAAATTATCGGAACCGGAGGGAAAACAAAATAAAAAGGGGCTTCCGTTCCCGAGTGTTTCTGCTGACGTCCCTCTCCTACCCTTTTTTCTGGTTTTTTTTTTTATGTCGTTCCTTTCTCTCCCGGACTGCCTCAGTCCCTCTTCTGCCTCTCTCGGAATGTCTCAGTCCCTCTCCTGCCGGTCCCGAGAAGTGTCATTCCCTATTCCTGAACTGAACTGCTGAAAATTCCTCCGACAAAAACTGTGCGTTGCTTCCTTTCGTGTTTATGAGACTGTCAGGTTGCAGTAAACAAGATAATCCCTTTAAAGAAAAATTGCAAGCACCAGACTGATTGATGGATCCACGAACGGTAGATACTGGAAATAAGCGAGATAAAAAGGGAGAGGAAAACGGAAGCTATATGGCTCTATCATAATTATTTTGCGTCCTGGAATTTTTTTTTTCATTTCCACTCCCGGTCGATACCGATAAATGTAGGAATGTGCTTCAAATCTCGCCGTTCCTATTGACTTCCCGTCCAAATTCCGAAAGCTTTCACTCCTATCAAGTGAACCGAATCCGACGAAATCGAGTCCTAACCCTGAGCCTTGCGCGGTGGGACTCAAACTGCAGCCCGCGAAGACAAAAAGTACTCTAGAGAAAAGTGGGATTTTTAAATGATCAGTTTCGGGAAGCCTTTTTGTTTGGCACGGCCCACGTGAGGCTGGTCGCTTCCGGATGCGGCCCCCTTCTCAAAAATTGTACCGCTGACATAACGGCTGAAACAGTTATGGTCACAGAAACCTGACACCAGACCGCTGACAAAGCACCCTGAAATTATGGGATTCACTCGTCATGATGTCAGGGAGAATAAAAGGCGTAGGATTTTGTATTCTTCCTTTGCCGGCAGTCTGTCGTCTGAATCTCTTTCTGACGTCGACGAACGAATGGAAGTTCTATGGAGATTTTTTTCGCCATATCGGCTCCCTCGGTCCGTCTGTGGAATAAGCATTTCCAAACTTGGGTTGCATTCC